CAGAGCCTGGTGGGTGCCAGAGGAAGAAAGCAGATAGGATTTTCCAGCTAACAGTGACTGACAAATGAAGGCAATCAGATTTCCTGGGATCCCCTTCCAGCCAAAGCCTGACCTTGAGAATCTCCTCAAAGTAGCTGCTACATCTGTGTGTTCCAGGTGCAACTGTTCCAGCAATAGAGGAATTATCAGTGCACTGTTTGAAGAAATGCAAGGGCTCAGACTAATCTCTAAACAGAACTTAAATAGGCTGAAACACTGACATTTCTGAGCAGCTATATTAAAAAAATGCACAGATGGTTAACTCTCCTGCAACTCTGACCTTGAAAACAAAACTCACTCCAGGTTTATCTACCCCTCCCTTTCCCGTTGACTAAATACACTTACGTGGTGTGTTGTGAAATTATAAATTCTTTGGGGCACAATCTCAGTTTCTCTAAATTCTGGAAGTAAATTCTTACTCTGTAAAATCAACAAGGTTATGAAGTATTCAAACTGATTGTACTTACCCTGTCTGAAATGAACTATAGCATTTATTATAAAAGCATGGTGTTTTCATTGTTTGGAGTTTTTTTGCTGCAACTGAGAGCTCTGCCACTGATCTGTGGAGTTACCTTAAACATCTCCCTTCACTGAGACTGCCGTTCTTTGGTGAGAGAACCCCTTCTTACCCTGTCAGGCAGGGGCCACCCTGATCCAAGCTTCACTCTTTAAACATAGCTATCATGCAAGTCACTGATCCTTCAGGAACATAGAAAGACTCAAGCTGCAGATACACAGTACTTTTCCTTAATCTGTTCTGACTCATCACTTCTTCAGGGTAAGCAGGGGAAAATGGAAATTCAATCCCAGCACAAGGACCTGAAGGACTCCATAAATCTGAGCAACATATTTCATAAGGATATTAGTGAAAATTAAATGCATTATTGCAAGAATTTTCTGCCAGGGAATAAAAGCAAGTGCAGAGCCCATATACATGGGGGCAGGGAAGGGGGTGTGGAAAGGGAAAAGTGTACAGTACAGCCTCAGAGAATAAAATTCATCTCAATGAATAGAGAAGGATATACATATCCATAAAGTAATTTCTTTCTCACCATGGTATCAGTTTTTTTAAGCGAATAATTACATTGATGAGCTAATTCCATTACCACCTATCACAGTAATTAATATTGCCTGACTGTCGCTTTGCAGTGCTCTCTACCATCTACACACTGCCTTCCATTTTGTTGATTGACGGCTCTTTGGGTCAGGGACTGTCTTAGGGTTACATTTGTGCTAAGTGTCTCTGGTTCAGGATGAGGCAGTATGGGAATAGGCTTGTTCTGCCTGACTCTCCATGGGGTTCAGTGCTGAGGTTCACCAGCATCCTGTGCTTCCTTCTCCTGCAAAATGATCAGAAAATCTTCTTGTGCAAGAGGAGCTATGCAAGGACTAGGCATCACTTAGTAACAGTTACTCATAACCACACTCATTCCTTTTGAGCCACACAAAAAATGCAAAGAGAGAGCACAGTGTGCCCTACAAAGGACAAAGTAACTAGCCCTGACCAGATATTTGGCCGCTCACTTCATCATTTTTTGATAAGCAATATTGCCATATATAAAATGAAAAAGATTCTTATAAATCATATTTATGAACATCTTTTACAAGCAAGAGTTCCAGATTTTGAGAGAGAGAAATAAAAACTGACAAAAACCTGACACAACTGGAGTTTTGATTTAAATAGGATGAATTACTCAGCAAATGCTCTAAGAAAAAAAGACTTCTTAAGTACTGCAACCACTTAAACTGCAATCAAGACATAAAAATATTGGTTTGAAAAGTGTCTTAGTGTTAAGTAAAGAAATATAAGTGCTAACCAGTATATAAGGAAATAGATTGGAGGGAAACAAGGAAAGCAAAGACAAGATGGAGCAGAAAGGGACACCTGAGGTCCTGCAAGCTGAGTTTGTTGTTCTCATTAAATTAGAAGGAAAGAAATAAAAAGGCCCAAGCCCTCTCCCGCAGCAGGAGCTGCTGACACCTTGATGTCCAGTATCAAGGGCAGATGAAAAAGGCAACAGTATCAGGGCAGTTTTGCCATCTACTTTTCCAAAGTCAGCTCTCCTGGAGCCCTTCCGAACCCTCTGAAAGGTTTTGTTCATGTTCCCAACTGCAGTAGACATACATTTACATTGCCTGAATAATGTGTCCTTCCTGCATGTTCCCACTTGGCCAGCTGACCGTGAAAAGATACTCAGCAACAAAGCTATTCACTGCAACAAGATGCTTTGCTTGAGAAATTCCAAAGCAGAGATATGGTCTGAAATTGTGCACCCATCTTAAAACAGAGACTTAACTGTCAGGATGGAGTCAGGTTACCTGTACTACAGAAAAGTAGTCTAATATATATACATTATTTGCATGATGCATATATAAGTTTACACACCTTCCTATAACTTGGGTTTTATGCCACTTCTGTTCCATGTATGGCTTATTGGGCTGGATTTTTAACCAAGCACCATTTGCTTAAAAAAGTAAAGGATGAGTCATCAAACAGAAGTATTTACTCACACCCAAAAACACAATTCAGTTTTGTTCATGAGAATTAGCAGAAAGAGGAATTTGGGGAATCAAACAGCTGAAATTCCTGACATTAACAACTCCTGACCTGTAAGCTGCCAGCCAGAGTTCACAGCGTAGCTCAGCATGTGGCTTCAAAACACTGATAACCATTTTACATTAGCAAAACAGACCAACAAACCTTTTTCATCGCAGGAAAAGCAGAACACTGGGAAAACTAGGATGTCTCCTCAAATGGAGATTTCTTTAACATCAGGCTTATCAATCAGGTTCAGAGGACCTTGTTTTTGGCCAGGAACATCATAGACCTCCTGAGGTTCCCTCCATTCCTGAGAACCACTCATAAGTAGTTCAATTCTCTCATCTGCTTGGGCTGTCTCACTTTCTTATAGATAGATATTATTCAGACTTTTGAAACTGCATTAGCCTGATTTCTGAAGTATTGATAGTCCTATTTTATCCTGAATGAAAGGACCCCAATGTCACCATGTGGAAACAATGAGGGAGGGAATTCATCCAGGCAGTATAACAGAATTTCTGCATATTTCCAAGTGGGTCCTGTAAGGTTTTTGTAACAGCAGACAGGTGCTAGACCAGTCAGTTCTTAACTAACAGGCAACTAGTCTTTCCTTCATGATGGCAGCTTCACAAGAGATGAAGGGGAGGGTGTGCACACAAAGGGGAAAACATTGGATTTTCTACCAGTTTAGATCAATTCTCTCCATACGTTAAACATAGTGAAAAAAAACCTCTGTTTCAATATTGTAAATAAACCAAACAACCATCAAATAAGTGTTTTGGATTCTGCAAGATCCCTCATAAGTGTGACACAAAAATGAACATAGTATTTCCAGCATATAAAGTTGAAGATGCCCATCCTTCCCAGACTGTTTTTCCATTTAGCATGAATGTTCGTGTTCCCATCTATTCTTTTTCACCCTTCTCTATGGTCCCTTTCACCCAATCATTTTAGCATATTGATAATGACAGCCAAGTCATGGAATGGAAATAGAAGGCAGCTGGTAAGATAATCCTGGACATCATCCGGATGCAAGTGAAGCATGCGTATCTAATTCATTAAGGGAGCAGGAGAATTAGGGTGGTGCTGAGCATCTATTCTGTCTGATTTTGCATTCCAATAATTTACTCTCTCAATAGACAGGATGGGAGGTGCAACATAATTATAGCTCAGAATCTGAAATGTCTGGCATGTCTGAAAGCTCACTAGTTTGGTGGCAGTTGGCTGGGGGGCGCATGGTAAGAGAGATGAGCAAACTTTGTGCTCCCTATACCCAATATGCTTCAGTAATAAACTGTGTGTGGGACTAGTGGAGTTCTCCTTGGGGATCAAAAACACTGCCTCTATATAGAAAATGACTTTCCAAGAGCCTTGAGAGCAGAAACTTTAAAGGATGCTTCACAAGGTGAGTCCATTTTGTATCAGACAAAACAGCTGCTTTAAAGCATGAATGGAAGATATATGATCCTACGTTTCTTCTCAGAGTGAACAGCACTGCTGAAAATGCAAACCCCTGTTCCCAGTGAGCCTCTTTTCTTGCACTGCTACTCAAACAGTTGTAATGATTCACTGACCAAACTTTACTCTGAACAAATGTCCAACTGTAGCAAATCCACAGGCCCTGCAGTTCTGACATGCATTCAGCCTGAGCAAGCAATGTGTACGGGCTACCTGCATCTCTGAACCACCACTCTGAAATATACTTTTTTCACAAAAGCTCCTGGGAAAAAGAAGTATCAGAAAACATCTGCCCCCTGACCTCTAGGTTTCAAAATAAATGGCCAGATTTTTCAAGAGCTCTGAAAATAAATTAGCAATTGGGCAATCTGAGAATTTGAAAAGATGTTCCCACTGCTGCACAACACTAAAAATAAGCCTTTTAGCATGTCTCCCTCTCCAGCTCACATTTCACCTTGAAGTCACATCAGATTTTATTTCTTTGATCAAGAAGTAGATGTGTGAAAAGATACGTAATAGGAACCCCCATTAATATGTTTCTCACAGAAAAATTGACATCTTGATACCATATTGATTTAGTTTACTGGACACCACTGGCTATTGCAGATGCAGTGTTATAGAGAGGGAAGCTGACTCATTAAAAATTACAGAAGTCACAGTACCTAGTCATTTAGATAAACTTGGGATGTACAAACACACAGACCTTTTAACTGCATTTCAATTTAATTAGCTTAGGGCTGGCAGCCAGATGGACAGTACTAGAGACAGACACTCTCAGTTAAATCATATAGCAAACAGAGCATCAGAAACATGTCATCACTGTCCATTGGATGAGAGTCAGAGACTGGTTGATTTCAGACTGTAGCCCCCGGCAACGAAGAGAAGTGACTGTTACCTTTGGTCCTGCAATACATTTAAGGGCCTGCTGGAACTGAATCAAGACATTTGAAGAGGTAAAACCCACCTGGCAGATGAAACCAGTGGATGAGCACTGCCGAACCCAGAGACTGAATTTCCTCTTTTTCCTCTTGCGCAGCTCCCTCTCTGTGCAGGTAGCAATGAAAACAGGATCCTCATCAATGAGGGGCTCATGTAATACCTGCAATTGACAAGAAAAGAGATCGGAAAAAAACAGAAGAATACACGACTGCAGAAAAAAAAAGGTGCTTTAACTTCTTTCAAGGAAATACAACCCTTGCACCGTGCTTGTGCACATCACCCCATACAAAGAAGCAAACCCACTTTTATTCCATGCTACCACCCAACAACAACCAAAGCCTAGCCAAGCACACTCCATTGTGGATAGCTGCTCTACAAGTGGTTTGCAAACACTGCAAGGCATGGCTCTCACTTCTTACTATCAGCTACAGTTCAACATCCCTCCAAAATGATGCAAGGGATGGGGCAAGGAGAATGGATTGTTAACAGCATCCTTCTCCAAGTTTCATCATAAGCTTCATCTTGTTTGGCAAAATGTCTTCCACCCAAACATCCCCTAAAATATATTGTAAAGTACACTCCTTGCTTACAGTAAAGGAAAATACACATCAAAGAGAGGGAGAAGTTAAGGGAGAAAAAGATATTTTCTGCTGCCACTTAAGGAGGTGGTGCTGTCCTGGTGGCAGCAGCTTCAGGAAAGTCTCTCTTCCCTCAGGAGCTGAAAAATTTGACAAAAGGAGACAAAGATAAAGCACCAGAAGCAGGAATAGAAAAAGACAAGGCAGACTGGAGCAAGTAGCAATCTGCATTCTGCATCCAGATGATATAAGTGGTTCCCTGATCCTTCTAACTGTTTTGTAACACGTCATTAATTCAGTAGCAAAACTGTTAGGTTTTACACTGTGGAACTCACCTATAGAAAATTACTAGTACCTCCTTGCAGCTCCTCACAGCTGTTCATAACATACACATACCTCACTTCACAGCATGCGAGTTGTCTAGCAAGTCGCTTTTGAAAAGGCAAAGGCTTGCAAACTGTTGAAAAATCTCAGCTGATGAATGCTGACCAAATTCAGACATCTACATCTAAATCAGAGCAAGTAACTTCAGGCTCCCCTCCTAATACATGAAGGGAAAGCAGTCCCAGCAGGCCATAGTTCATACCCTTGTAAAGGGGTGTAAATTAAGTCAGATGGGTTATATATACCTAAAGGAGCCCATTCTTTTCCAGTGACCATCCCTCCAGGAGACAGGTTCAGAGGCTCTCACCCCCAGACCAATCCTTTCCATGCCTGCATGTGCGCTGCTTTCGTGCGCATCTGTGCACAGTGGCGGAAATGAGAACAAAGCTGCATTAAACCTGTGAAATGCTTTTAGGAGAGATGTGAAGGGTAAGCAGTTAAGCACCAGCGATGAGCAGCTGCTGGCCTCCTGAATACAAGATGTTTGTTGAACATCACTGTCAACCCAAAACAGGCACCCGTGCCCTGCCCACGAAGTGATGGTTGCACACTGTCATTTATATGCACTGCACTTCTTAACGACTCATAAAACATTCACAGGACCATCTGAAAGCACTCTTGTGAAATGTTCAAATTATACACCAAAACGCAGATGTGAAAAAGGAGAGCTGCACACAAAGCTATTTGTTTTCATAGCTGCAGCTGCCCCGTTTCCCCACTGGAGCCAAATCTTTTTCCTCTCTCAAGGTCCACACTTAACACAGCCCTTCCCTTCTAAAGGCCACCTGGGGCATTTCCCACTTCCACCTCAGAGGATTCTGACGGCATTTTGCAAATATTAAACATGCCTTCATCTGCATTTTTGCCTTTCTGCCTCTCTGGTGCAGAGAGAGGGAGCACATCCCTTGGGATGGAGTCAGATACACAGTTAAGAATTTCTCACTTCTGGAAATGCCTTCTACCTGCCAGATCCCACTGAGTGGTGTTCCACTAATCTCCCCTGCTGTAGGATGGAGAGTAGCATAAAGAAAAGGCTGTATAAGCATCACTTTAGGATATCTTTTACCCTCTGTCTAGCTTCTCTCCCTCCACTGCACCACAGCATCAACCCTCTTCACAGCAGCTCTACTGCATCCTGCTTACCCTTTACAGTCTTTCTGCCTTCTATGACACAGTAAGGCCTGTCAGCCTTAAATTTAGAAAGCAAATCTGAATTTTTAAAACCTCTCCTCATCTTCTTCTTCTCCTTGCCCATGCTCAGCCTTGCCTTTCTCTAGGACCCAGAGCTTCTCCTCCTCTGTTTCCCTGTACTGAACGTTAAAGTCATTTCTCCATAAGAAGACTAATGCTCCACCGAAGTCCCTACTGCATGGCTGTGAAGAGGGAACAAAAATGTAAACAGAGTAGGGTAAGATTTGCTGTTGCTGCAAAGAAGGAATGTGGACAGGCAAGGAAAATGAAATGAAAACCCTGAAGCTTGCTCTTCCTGCTTCCGTTAAAGAGGGTGGGGAGACAAGTGTTGTCACCCCTCCATACGCAACCACTGCTTCAACAGCTGTAAAGAACTTTGCAAGCAGAGCACTCTGTGGGCTGTGCCTGCTGGTGGAACAGCTGATCCCCATCTTGTTTTCAAAGGGAGTCGTTTGTTCCTTCTGGCACTGACATGGTTTTATTATGACAAAAGTTAGCCCTGTTGCCACTGGCCAGTACTATTAGTTTGTTCACCCTCCTGCATTCTCAGTCTCCTTGCTCCTCCTGTAATCTCAAATCCATCTATTTGCCAAATTCCCATGCAAAGTGATATTTGCTCCTTCCCTATTCCCCTTTCTTGCTGAAATATACACTTTTACAGGAGTGAGCTTACTGCCCCTATGGCATATTCTTTCCTGCTTCTCATCTTGATAAAAATCTACATTCAGGCTTAATTGACTCCTACACATATTCCTGGCTGCCTCTTCACCATCTTTGACTCACTCCCCAAGCCCTCCCCTCTTCCTGACTTCCTCTGATGCCAGAAAATCTTGTGGATTTCTTCATACAAATCATCCCCATTTTCTTCTCTCAAATTCCCAGTTCTGTTTAGGTCTTAGAAGCTCCTCATCCAGTTGCTTTGCTTCCCCACAGCTATCACACTGGGGTTTTAATTTTTTTCCTCTGCTTTATGGTCATCCTCATCCCTGCTAGATCTACTTGCTAAACTTTCACTCTTTGTTTTCCCCTTAATATGTGACAGAGAGGCAAGACTCCAAGATGGCACTCCAGCAATTGCTCCACCTCGCAACATCTTTCATTCACAGAACAAAACAGATAGCCACTGTCAGGAGTGCTTTTCTTCTCCATTTTAGATAATTTCCAACTCTCTTGCCATGCCAAAGTTCCACCCATCTTGCTCTCACCACAGCCCAAACAGGCTTGTAGACAAAGCCCCAGGACCACTAAGCCTTGTACTTGGAATTCCTGGACTCCTTTTACTTAGATAATGAACCAACATGTCCTTGAGATAGCTCATCTTCCCCTTAGCTCCATGGCCATCCACAGCACAGGCAGTCTCTTCAGCCTGTCTCCTGGAGAAACTGCCTCAACTTGCCTTGTCTCTGGCTTTTGGTGGGTACCATCCAGTTGAAAACAGAGTCCTCTGGGTAACTGCACCTGTATGCACAGTCAGTCACTGCTTCTGCAATAATAGCTTGCGCTTCTACTTCTTTGCTCCAAAGCTCCTCCTGTCTAAACTAAATTCTCTTGCTGGTATCTGACATCTCTGCTTGCACATCTACTTATCAGTTCTGATTTCATTATGCTACATTTGAGAGTATCTCCCTCCCTTAAGAACCCCCTTACTATCTCCTTTTTTGGTCATTGCTGACATCCCTCTCTTCCTGCTGCAGATCTCACTGGCCAGTGAATCTGAATGTCACTCTTTACCTCCTACTCTTGCAAAGTCTTCTCAGCCAGGCGATGCCTATATTTTCCATTCTTTCTGAGTAAGAGCTCTAAAATGTTACTCATATTAGAGTAACAACTCACCCACCCAGCCAACTTTACATCCAAGCCCACAACCACCCTGCAACAGTTTTAGTTTCGGCCTCCAGCTAAAGCAATGCTGCCCTACAGACTTCTGCTGGAAAGCCATTTTCCTACGCCATCACTCTGACCACATCATTTTTCTTTAATTCTCTCTGACAGTTCTCCTCTGATATATCACAAAGATTCTTTCTCTTCTCACTTTCAAAGTCTTGATTGACCTATCCACATTTTATGGATCCTCTTTGCCCTCATTCAAAGGTTAACTCCCATCTTCAGTGGAGCCATGATTACATGCTCCTCTGCCCATTTGTTCAGTTTTCAATCAACGCTTTTAAAAAACAAAAACTCAGTTTTTACAGCACTCCATTACCATTAGGTAATTTAAAAATAGCAATAAATTTTCATCATTTTCTGTTGCCAAACTCTCCCTAAAATCTGGCTTCACCAAAGGATCAACTGGCCAAGAGCTACAGAACATCAGAAATTTACCTTCCCGTTCAATATTCTTATTGCTCCTCAGTCTGTCTTTCTGTTGCTCCACATCTTGTGCCTGGCCGGCGTTCTCTGAATATTTATGTATCTGTCATACTCACAAAAGCCCTAAGACAGAACGGTCCTGGTTTGGAATCAGCACCCTCAACTCCTACAGAATCATTTTGAAAACAGCAAATCTGAAATATAGAGGTAGGACGTGAGGAGGATCTTATCATTTGGAAATGCTCAGTGCCAAATGAACTTTTATTCGTGAGGACACAAAAGCAAGTTGATCAGCCTGTTTTTTCCCCTCTATGTTTTCAAAGAAGCTGTCATCCAATCTGTGAGCTTGTTTGGAAGAAATATGTTGAAATTGCTGTACCCTATGATACCACCAAGAGTGAAACACAAACAGGCTGCCTAGTAATCAGCCAAAGTTTAGCACCATGCCCTTGGAGCAAGAGGTTCAGTTCACCTCTCTTTCACTCCAGCTAGAGACAGGAACTTAAGCCCAGTGTTTCCAGCTGACATTTCACTGGGCAGATGCAAAACTGTTTGGTTCCAAGAAACCAAAGAGAAGGTACTTTGGAAGGATAGGGAAGGAGAGAGTACCTGGAACTGTGCTCCTGACCCCTTCCACACCAGTCAGGGGCAGTCAAAGACAGAAATCCTGTCTAGTTGCATCCTGGTGTCAAGCATGTAAATACTCAGCAGGCACAGAAGGATATTTGAGCAGCGATGTTATTTTCCCTGAACTCCTCTGGTTTCTGGAATTCAGTGTATATCCTTGGCAGGCGAGTCCCCTTGAATTTGGTGCAGTATACCTCCTGAGTTCAGGCAGGGCATCTTCCCTGCCTTCAGGCTTGCAGACAGCAGCAGCACAGCTACCAAGCTAAGCAGCAAAGAAACAACACTGACTACAGGAACCAACCCAAAACTCCACCTCTTTTTGCTCAGGTAGAGACAGCACTTATTTATACAGAAGATGTTGAGGAAGGATAAGATGCAGAGAATATTCCTGTCATTTTTTATCCAATCTAGGTCAGAACACCATTTTTTAACTTCCGAAACTGAAGCTAGCACTGCTGATACACAATTATAATGTTCTGGGCTTTCAATTCTTTCATAAGCTGGAGTGTAATTATTCCCTTTTGTTTGCTCAGTATATTTAGCAAAATAATTATAATTCACTAGATTGTTTTCTTTGTTTTGGTATATTGGCATAGTTCTCTCTCTCCCTGTTTCTTTTCATAGCAACAGTGGTGTTATTTTTACAGGCACATTTTGGGGAGGAGGGGAGGGGCCACAGATGAGAAAAAAAACCCGTAAGCATTTTCTGACAGAAATTCCACTTGAAGAATCTTTTCTAGCTCTCCAAAAAGAAAAGATCAAATCTATAGAAGAAACAACTGTGAAGGCAGATGTTGCACTGACTGAATGCAGATTGTCTCTGCTCTGTCCATAGGGGTGAGCTAAACATGGTATCTTCCTAACTTCTGTGAGTCCACACTGCCAGAGGAAGAAGGTCAGTAACAAGTCCACCTACAAGCCCAAACAGCCCTGCTGCATTCAACAGCAAGGAACACGAGCCATTTCGCTGCTTGATGCTGCCTACAAGATGGTAGCATAAAGCTTGAACACAAGCCACCCAGGTACCAAAAGTTTCATGTTTAAGATACAAGTGTACTTTAAGCAACAATTCCATTTTGAACTTGGGATTTCAGGTATCTCTGATTACAGAAACCTAGGCTCCTCTTTCCAAACTGCTTTCAGAGGCAGCACATCCTAAAGCCCATCTAAATGGCTCTTTCCCCTCATCTTTTCCATTTGTTTCTGTGCAACTGCATTATTATTTTTAATTATTTCTATTATTTCTCACTGGACCTGACATTCTGGGTTTTATGTTTACAGCAGTCTGCTAATCTGCACTCAAGACAATTTGCAGGGAGAGGTCTTTCCTGCTGTTCTAAGCAGATGGGGTCCTCATCTCTTGAGACAGGTAGTGTGCAGCCCTGATTGATGGCACTCAGGAGGATATTACACAGAAGGCCCCTTTCAGGAGGAGGCCTGGAACATCCCCCAGTAGGCTACTGGAGGTACACTAGGGTATTTTTAACAACAGATTCAAAACCTTATTCTTTCTCACAGGGTTATTTTTGAAGCTGTATTTTAGTGCTTTTTGTTCCACTCAATACCACTGAAACATGCTGCATAGAATTCACTGACATAATCACTGACATGGGAGCAGAGAAGTGGAAGAAGGAAGAGAACTGGCTGTCTCTACTTCTTCCCCCATATTTTTTTAAGTAGTATCTCCTTACGAAGCTCAGGACAAACATACATTTTGCTTGTGGAGATTTAGATATTTGCCACTGCAAACAGGATGCTGTGATTTTGTCAATTCAGTTCTCAAACCTTGCTCAGGACGGGGAATGGGAGAAAGGATATACATGCAAATCAAATTTATCCTTTAATGGATTTTCACTCACAATATGTCCCACAGCACACCATTATAAGCATTTGCATTAGACACAGTGATCACATTTCTGAAGCCTTTATCTTCTGCCCACTGAAGTCAGCAGCCATAAAGATTAGATTTCATACCTTAATGAGAGCTCAGTCCCAACAATACCATGTCTCTCACTGTCTCTTTTGTCTTAATGGAAATGTACCTTGCTGGCATGGCTTAGTGAGAACAGCCGCTCCTCCCCTCTCTATCTTAACAGCTTTTTAGGCAGCTGTGTTCTCATGAGTTATACAGGTATGATTTTTATTGTCTATAAAATAAGCTGTAATCACTCCCCATTTATTTTAGGCACACGTTAATGGATGTGATGCATCTATGGCTTCATTAATTTTGTGCAGTGGGCAAAAATGCGATGCTTCAGAAGGGAAACAGGAAGAAAAAGAGGACTATGGGCACAACACCCTTTCCAAATGTCTAAGTGAAATATTTATATTCTGAAAACAGAGAGTTGATTGAGAAGTTATTTCAAGCAGTAATATATTTCATGCTTGTTCCGTTTTCTTTCCAGACTTCTGAACACGACCAGTAGCAACAGCTCCAAAAGCAGATCACTTATACTGGAACAAAGTTTAAATAGTGTATGATGAATATTAAGAAAAGATTTTTGCCTCTCCCTCTGCTTATCTTCCCTTTCCCCAGTTGTGAGGAGGTAGCTCTGCTACTGGAACATACAGCAAGCACCTTCTGCTAAGGTCAGGGACAGTCATTCCTTGCAAACTCAGCTCCTCCATCCAATCCTCAGCCTGTAGCAGGAGCAGCTACCAGCTTTCCTTCCAGCCCGGCTGCATCAGCTCTGCCCTTTCCACTCTCCCTCATAGGCAAAGCCTGCACCCTCCCATCCTCAGGATAGCAAAACGTAGTGGCACCAGCCTCATTGAGAAGTCTCCAGGCATGTTTAGGCCACTAAAGCAAACACCTCCAGCTCAGAGAGCACTATTCCCACTGAAACATGCCTGGTGCATGCACTGCAGCGCTGCAGTCAGACACCGATGAGCACTTGCATAGGACAGTGCTGCTTTCTCTCTTGTTTCATGGCAGCACCACAGCATGGCTTCACATTGTGAAGCCCCAGCTCTTCTTCAGGCAGTGGTGCTCTGCACTATCCATCATAGAGAGACAACCAAGAGCGCACAGATTGGATGTTCCCTGCCAATAGGTTAACTCTTACCTGGGCTTGTGAAGGTCTAAAAGCAGAGTCAAAGCCATTCTGCAGAGAGTCCAGAAAAGGCTGGATTTTGTAGAGGCCATGCGTTGTCTGGCTCGAGCGGAAGGCCACAATGTGGAAGTATTTCAGGATCTTCTCAAACCGTGATTGCGTCATGATAAGTGCAATGCTCTTGTTGCTGTAGAAGCCACTGCTCCAGATACTGAGAACAGACTCACAGTGGTGGATGCTGGTTGATATCATGTAGCCTAAGAAGGCCTTCATTTCTGTCAAGGTGACGTCAATCCAGGCATCGTCACTACCAAACCTCTCCTGGTACTTCTTGGCGTACATGTTGGTTTGGACCACCATATTCTTTAGTACATTGTCAGGGACAAAGAGCTGAAAGAAGTCCATGGCACTGGCAGTCAGGGGCATTTTTCGTGTTGGACCTAGGATAAAAGCAAGAAGGGAATATAGGCACACTCCTCATCACCACAAGGCATGTCTAACACCAGAAATTCAAAGCATGATTAAGTTTCCTAGAGCAGGAAAACAAGGCCAAAGTGATGGCAAGTATTCACTGTCTGACAGACTTCATCAGGAAACTTCCCCCCATATTCTGTGTCTTCCTCCTATATGATACAACACACTCCAAAAAGTTTCTTCCTCTGCTCTGCACACTCATTAGTTTGTAGCATGCAGGCCTTTTGGGCAGCATGCATTTAATTTCTCCACTTATACACTCTCTGCACCTTTTATCCTCAGCAGCTTTTTTCGTATAGTCTTTTATTTGTCCATACCCTTGTCGAAGCAGTGCCTTCCTCAAAATGTCCCAGAAGGACAGTGCCTGAGTCCTCCAGAGAGAGTGCTGCCCTCATCCCAGATGACGTGATTCCTAGGCACTAGAACCTGATCTCACCTTTTCTCTTGCAGCTCTAATCCCTGCCAAGTTCATTTTCATTAATTCTGTGACTCAAATCTGCCTCTGCTCCACACAGAGTCACACTGGTCATGTCTAAGTGTTTCTGAGTTTTGTGTCTCTGCCACGACCCTGGAACCTTATCCTGCACTCTGATACTCCCACGAGAGCACATTACCAGAACAAGTCATAGCTACCATGTGGCTAGTGTCGCTGTCCCATGTCACAGGGAATATTTTTAGCAGTACAATGCATATATACCGTGGTCCTCTTCCTCCCATAATGTAATAAGCCTTGCAGTCCCACACTATCATTACTCTAGCTTTTCACTGATCTTGCACATTCTCTGCCAGTTTCAACTATTCCATAAGAGGAGGGGTAAAAAAAAAAAGGGGGAGGCTCTAAGGATTGGCAGCACTGTATCAGCGTAACAAGGTTAGCCAGTCAGACACCAGATTACATTAAACCAAATTAGGAACATTGAGCCTGCAATACCAGGGACACAGACACCAGTCCTTACAGCCCTCTCTCCTCTAATCCCTTCCATAAGCTAACTAAGCTCCATTTTAAAAGTGGTAGTTTATGCTTCCACCTCATGGCAGTGTCTTAGTCACCAGGTAAGGGCAGGGGACATTCTCTATTCTCCTAGAGAAGCAGTGAAAACCAATACACCTGAGAAGAGCATCACAGACAAACCCAATGGACAGGGGAGCAATTAAGAGTAGTTCCACCTCCCTGTGAAAAATAGTGACATGCGTATAATCCCAAACCAAAAGTTGGACCAATAAATACTGCACCTTAGTTCAGTAGCCTTCAGCCTTGAGACAGTCAAACACCTTCCTGATCAAAAGCAGGAGGCACACAGCTTCTCACTTAAAGTTCTGCCTAACAAGAGCGAGTCTTCCTTGCACTGCATGGCTGCTTGGATCTCAGCATCAGCTCTCCCCATGGATCAGAGCATGGGATTTGCCCTTCTACAATCTGGCTCTCCAAAGACCCACTACCATGTCAGTCAGGTCTCATTCTCCAGTACCCCTGTGTCTCAGCTCACATTCTTAGCTACAGTAACAACTATAGCTTGTAGAAATTTTCCTGAAACTTCAGAAATACTGTGGTTGCACTTGCTCTTAAGCCTTAATGTTTGGGGGCACTCTCATGAACTCAAGCTATTAGAAGGACGGAAAGATAGCATCAAGACATTGAAAGAGTAAACCTTCAGATTGCAAAGAATGCCAAAAAAGCAAACAAAAGTGGATTTTTTTTTACAAGCTGTAAAAAATGGTGAAAAAATATCTATTTAAAGATTACTTTCCAATTTTAATTAGTGAGATTGAGAAAATGGAAGTGAAACACTTCGGCTGAAAGCACGTTCCTCTACATAGTAAGACCAGAGTAAAGAGCTCAACGTAAACCATGTTTCAGTAAGAACAGAGAAGAAAATTTCAGTTTAAATGATAGAAGGTTTTCATTAACAAGTGAAAACTATGAGGCTAGAGTAGATATACTAACTTAACCTGAACTGCTAGTGCAATAATAAGGCCTCTTAACAAGAAGTTCTCTTATTCTGATAAGGAGATTTATATTCCGCTAGCACCCACTTGAGTGTTATAGCTGACATAAAATGCTCTACAAATGATTCTGTATGAACAACTTATAGCACCTCACTTCCTTCTCTCCACAACTTAATCAGGTTTTTATATTCTACAGTAGTAATGGCTTTCTGATAACAACACAAAGCACAGAGTGTATTCCTAGTTATGGAATCTTGAGTAGCTATTGAATTCAACTCCAGTGCTCAGGCAACTTTCCACGTAGAGCACAGAGATAGTTTTTAAATTCCTGCCTTCAGAAGCAGAAGCTGGGAGTGGGGGTAACATTTTAAATCTTGTCTACAGCAAACAGGAATTCATAAAGCATTAAGTCTTATGAAGTGAAATATGCTGGTCTTGAGACACGTGGATATGGACAATAGGTACATGCTGGACTCCATCTTTAGGGAGACAACAGCAGTCAGAAGCACAAAAAAGTAGTTTGGTGTAGTTAAATTTTCAGTAGCTGAGTTAAATTTTCAGTAGCTGAACAAGTTTATAAGTGAGTATGGAAAACTGCCAGGTATACTGGATAGGACTATCCTTTCTTACCCAGCAATCCTGCTCCAGCCACACAGAACCTGCTACCTTCTCTGCTTCCTGAAATAAATATCCAGGCTTTGTGTCCCACTGGTCATGCAGAAACCACACAGATCTAAAAAAGCAAGCTGAATCACTTTCTGACTCAAACATCAATCTAATTGTTGATTAAATAAAATTATGAAAGTCCCTGTATAATCTCATTGTCTTAAAAAACAGACTTCATTGGCAATGTGAGTACAACTGATTCATAATTTACTGATATGCAATATAACAAGAATGACACCAAATTTCAGTAGGAAAAGAACTGAATTTTAACATGAATTGGGTTATGCATAGTTAATGACCAGCCTAAAATAAATTATTTAAATATGACTTTCTTTCTAAGTACACAAATATATCCCATATAGAGAGCCAGCTATCTGCACAAGAAACTTAAATAGCAAATTCACACTTTTTAAGGATTTTTACATCGACTTAAATGACACTTACCCAGAAAATACTGACATGAAAAGAGTTCAGTGTTCCATACATGCACTGTTTACTTTTCAAAGCTTTACTCAGTCAAATGAAAGAGTGGCTTTGCCTAGTTGTCTATTCTCAGAATAATTATACAATTACGACTGTACATAAAATTCAGATTTTTCTCTCTCCTCTGCCATAAAGGGTGTGCATGGAGAATATATTTACTTACATAGGGTTTTTTGCTCTAAAAGCCAATCAGGGTTTTCAATACAAGTTATAGAATCAGAGTGAAAAAGCACTCTTGGAATGTCCAAACATGCAGCTAGACCCAGTATTCTGTGCACACTCAGGACAGGGTCAGAGCTCCACTGAATAACCTCTGACTGGGCAGCACACACGGCAGCACTACCACTTTGGGCTTGCTTTATGTGACCTTGTAGAACATGGAAAATAACAAACAATTTCTGTTACGATACAGCGTACAAACTCAAGCTCTTCTTCCTTCTCATCCTGTCTGCCAGCAAAAAATTGCATGTGCAATCCGCAGCAACCAGCTTGCAAGTCATTACTGCTACTGTGACTAGTTGGTTCCATCTTCTATTTTGTACTCGAAATGTCTCCTACAGGGCCACAGCTATTTCAAATTGTAAGAATAGACTCAAAATAAATGAAAAAAACTAAACAGGAAAAGCTATTTGTGTTTCCATATTGGAGGTATGACTGTGAAGCAGAGGTTGGCACCTCACCCTCAGGCTGTGTGCATTGCAGAGCTCATTTTGGTTCAACTCAGCTCAGGGCAAACTGCAGCATCCTTGCTGAGTCCGATGCCCAGCAAGAGAGCAGGCTGCATGCTCAACTTCTCAGCAAACAAAGACATTGAGGAAAACCAGCAAGATTTAAGAAAAAGTTCAGGCGAAACTTCTGTATGACGATCCTTCAGGCAGCCCCTCCATGTCCTCCTACAATCTCTGCTTTCTCTCTTGAGTGGGTCCCCACCAATCACATTCTTCCCCCCACTTCAATCCCACCACTGTTTCTAGTCTTCCTCACTGAGCAACACGTTACAAAAAAAATAAGAACTCCAAGTGAACTAACTGCTTTTTTCTTACTTAGCTGGTTTGCAGAACTAAGTAATTTGAGTGCATTTTTAAGAAGTTCATGTATCCTTTTTCACTTTTTTTGTTCTGATTACCAACCTGTAATTTAGTAGCTCAGAGTTCACAGACTCAGAATAAAGGATGGATAAAAGATGGAAAGCTATCAATGCTTACAACATAGCACATAATTCTTAAGGAGGTCAAGAGCATTGCCATTTTGGGCAAGATAAATCAGATTTGTAAGAAGATAACACAGTGAAAGAAAATTCTCCTTTTGCTCTGTTGTGCAAAAAACTGTTCTTACTCAAAATGTAATGGAGGTTCATGATAAAATACCCCATTACGTTGATAGGTCCAGGTATTACCTTACATATGATAATCCAAACTGCATGGCTTGGAAACAAACCTTGTGCAGAGCTAATCAGGGCTGACTTTGAAATTATTGTAACTTCATTTGCAACTTGGCAAACCCTAATACTCCCAAATCAGGCACAGGAATGGGTAGAAGCATCAGTTTGAGAATCTAAAAGTAATTTTATTACCTTCTTTGAGGAAAAAATCTAAAAATTTATAGTCCCCCACGAGGATAGCACATTTAAGTATATTAAACACAGATACCTACCTAAGAAAAATTGATGCAGAAATTGTTATTTTTGGCCATAGCGAAGTACTTTCTCTTCCAACATATGGCACAGATTTCAAAGACCAAGGCTTGAAAAGCCACTTAATTTCTCCTTCCTAAGTCCAGATAATTAGAGATTGTTTTATATTCCTGAGAAGTTACCTTTGCAAAAGTACAATAGGATTTTTGGGTCTTATTTAGAGAGCATTAAAAAGTG